CGTCTTGTAGAGGACCATACACAAGCTTGCCTTAAGGCGGCAAATCAGGTGGCCTTGTGATGATGGGGATTGACGATGGAGGGGGCGGGTTCACGTGCGTGTCACATTAATTCAGAGTACCGGCTGCCAGGGCTGATTAGGGTGAATACCCAATGGGAGGCTTGTTGTCTTAAACCCTTTGTGTGGTCTGGGTGGTTCCAAAAGGGTTACAAGGCAGCCGGCTCATACCGGCACAAGTCTCAAGGATGGTTGCAGAAGGATACACTGTATCCGCTCGATGACTGCATGCTCGGAGGGGAATGTGCTGTCAGTAGAGAAGCTGGTGGCATGGGTGGAGAAGAAACACATGGAAGCGAAGGCATGGGCGACAATGATGGCTGACACGTGTGTTAATTCGGTCACACTTGTAACCCTTTTGGAACAACCGTGTTTGTTATAGGGGATGGCGCATCTGGGCCACTCCTTTGAAACGTGGGTGCCGTCCACTTTGTGACCAGCAAGCACACATCAAGTGAACTGGACAGTCAGCAACCAGTCGTACTAGTCCCGCCGATACTGCTGTGGCAGTGTCTGCCTCGCACCTTACACTGTCGGCACTCTTTCCAACAATGCAGAATGTGAAGCCATTTGAGTACTGAACCGAAACTCCATACGGGCATATGGACTGCCAGTGTGCCTTTATGCATATACGCCTGCATATGTATGTACATGCATGCCATCTGTTGCACATGTGCATGGGATAACTTTCATAGTCATTCGTTGTCAACCAGACAAGGGTGCATCCATCGGCCTCATTGCTGCGGTTGCTCAGCGGTTGGTGAAGTGTGTGTATGGCATGAAGTACATCAGCCCCTTTCGGTCCCCCTCCGGGGCGGCTGTGCAGAACTTGCCCTTCAGCTCACTTAGCGGCAGCCCTACGTCCTGCCACATCTCCCACTGGCTGCCTGCCCTCGCTGTCTGGGCGGCCGCCATGTTGACCACCACCAGCCCCCCGCTGAACACCTGTCCCGAGTACACATCTGCGACAGTGAAGTGGACATCCTGAGCGCCATCTTCTGCGGGCAGGTGGACGAAGTACTTGAGGTAGGCCGCATACGTCCGAGTCTTGTTGCCGACTTCTGCCTGGTAGCATGCCCAGCAGGAGGTCCGCTGCTGCTGGCGCCCATACTCAGCCCCGAAGTACTGCTCCTCGTCGAGTGCCTCGGCATGCAAAAAGGAGCGGGCCTTGGGACAGTCGGGTGGTGTAGACATGAGAACCCTATCCAGGCGGTCCGTGTCCAGTTCGTAGCTCGCACTGGGACCCAATGTCCAGGAAGCCACATCCTCGAATGCCAGGGCATACCAGTGCACTAGGCTCGCCATGGCTGCCCGGACTTGTGCCACTCGTTCTGGACTCGGGTAGACCATGTGGCCTCGTCCAAGCAGGTAACCGTTGGCTCCTGGTTTATCAAACCAGGCAGCCTCGGTGTTCACTGCGCGCCGTGCCAACATCCTCTCAAGCTGCTGGTTGGTCGTGTGTTTGGCCCCGGTCGCGGGGTCTGCCTCGGTGAGCGACTCGGAGGCCCGCATCAGGCACAGCCACTGCGCGTAGTGCTTCTCGGGTGCCTGTGAAACCATCCTTCCGCCTTGCGTCTTCATTTGCTGCATCATGCGTTCCACCGGCAGGTCGGAGAACCCTGCCACGGACCCAAGCTGGCACTCCTGGTCGTACAGCCGGCATACACAGGTATGCAGGTTGACCGTGAACATGTAGCCCGGCACCTCCAACTCCTCCAGCCTGGTCGTGTAAGCTCTGAGCTTGCATGCAGCCGCCTTGGCTGCCACCAGGAACTGCTCACGGGTCTCGTCGGGGGGCCACGGCCAGAAGTAGTGCATGACCGTGCTGCACAGGCTCCAACACAGGGCCCGCAAGGCCTCGGGCAGCACGTCCCTCTTGAAGATGTAGCTGGAGAACGTCTCAACGAAGTGCAGCCAGTCCTCCATGCGGTAGCTCTTGCTGCATGGGTGGAGGGGGGCAGTGTGGCGAGCAACCATGTAACTAGAAGAAGTACATTACATAGAGTAGCAAACTCTCTGACAGATGAAGGTGTTTTTTTCAGGCAAGCCCCTGGTAGTATTTCCTTTCTCGGCTATTAGCGACCCCCATGTGTGGCCGGCTGCCCAGTGCTGGCTGTGCTCACCGGTACTGCATGATGCATTTGTACCGCCGCCTGAAGTCCGAAGTCACGACCAGGAACTGGCCGCGGGCCGCGACCCGCTGGTGTGCTTCACGAGACATGACCAGCTTGGCATCTGGGTCTGCTGGCTTGATGTCTTTGAGTGACCTCAGCGTGTAGTCCACAAAGTCGCTGACCACTCCAAACAGCAGGGCATGGCCGGTGGAGACGGTGAAGAGGCACGACAGGTCGACGTACAGCAGGGCCGCAAAGGCAGTCAGGCCCTTGCACCCAGTCTGGAGCGCCGCCTCATCGAACTGCTTCTGCGTGATCTTGTGTGGAGTCCCAAGGTAGAGCATCCTGTACATCGCCTGCATGACACTGCCCGTGCTGACGAAATGCTGATGGGTCTTCTTGAGAGCCCGGGCGTCGACCTTCAGGCTCTTGCCTGCATTCCGCTTTACGAAGTGCTGGCTGACTGCTTGGGTGTAGCCACGGAAGCGCACGGTGGCCCCGCGCCCGACATTGGCCTCCATGTGTGCCTCGAATAGGCACCACGTGCAGCTGCCGACACGACTGTTCTGGTCTCGTAG